CTGTAAGTACGCATTCTGTGGAGAAGACAGTACTGCGGTGGTAACAAAAGTTTCTTATGACTCACGTTCGAACTCTTTTGTTGGGTTTAACTTGTCCACGCTACTTTTCTACCAGTTCATTTGGTGAACTTGAAATTTGGTATGAAGAAATAGACAAATCATCTCTTATCAATGTACATGTGATTCAACCAATATGTCCTATCGGTCAAATATCACCACCGCCATTCCTTCTTGCTGCTTACGGTACCAACAGTAAATATACAGCGAACGATGTTCTCGACCGATGGTCAAGTATTTTTGATTCATGTATGAATCAAAATATTCGAATTTTAGGCTTCTCAGCAGATTGTGATCCAAAACAAATGAAAGCAATGCGGGACTCCATGGGATTTGAAGAACGTCCTAATCGTTTCGAAATTTCTTTACTCAAAGTGAGTGAACAAGTATAATTAGTTTCATATGAAAAAGAAAATCAATCGGGATTCGAGTAAACGATTATAATTGTACGGATTGATGATTTTCTTCATATTACTTAGAGGATAATAAATGTCTTCGGTGTCTATTTATAGGTTGACGAAGTATTTCTTCTCATATAAATCTATTTTATTTCTTTAGAATTAAAAATAATACAATAATCCCTTTCAATTATCGTTCTTAGAAAAAAAAATCTGAAAATATCTTTCATCAGCTATCATCTATCATTGAATTTTTCGGAAAACAATATTAGTATTCCAGTACAATAAAAACAATGTTCAAGCACATGAATTTATTCTCATTCTTGTTTTCCATTGTTTAGAAAACTTCATGGTTTTTTTTTTGAGATCATCACAGCTATTTGTATGTTTACAAGATGCGCCACATTTATGTACTAAGCTGTGCAACCGTCTTTTGTCTTCAAAAACAATTTTATTAATAGGGAAAAGGTATGCCAGCATTAAACATCTCGTGGAATTGATTGAGAACCATTCAAAGATCGATCATGGATTAGCCATATCAGATGTTTGTCCAAAGGACAAACAAAATTATTCATCTTGCGAAAAGATCACGAGTGATGCTGTTTTTTCTTCTATTAAAAATGTTTCGAATTCTCAAGCAACTCAAGCTTATCGACAAGTAATATTTTTTGCTTTTTCTAAGTATGGAGTCGTTAGATATGATATAATCGAGGTAGTTCTCTTTCAAAATATTATGTATGACATAACGAAAGTTGTTTAAAAGTGTTCGCTACCTCATTACTGAGTACTGCTGTACGGTCAAATTTTATTAATTTCATTTTGATAGGTCATAAAATGTGTCCGTTTGGCCTTTATCGACAAAAGCACTAATATAATTGATCGTCTTTACTATGCTTGGTGTTCAGTTTTTATTATACGGATCTGGTCTGCGTGGTTACACGAGACAGCGGCTGATGAACTTAAGGAGAGAGCTTCGAATTTACTCTCAAGTGACGCTGGTAGAATTATTCCAAAAAAGAACTTCTTTATCACAGTACCTGCTCTTTTCTCACTCGAACTGAATGCACATAGCCTGACGTATCTGATTGTTCTGTGGGCTGAACAGAAAATTACTGAAGAAGCATTAAATGTTTTTTATGTAATTCACAAGTATGCGAAAGTACTTTCCATGCAGCTTGTTCGATGTCCGGTCCATTTTCATCTGTGGTGAACTTTACTGTTCACGAGTTTCTTCAGCGTGTCGAGAAACTCGCTGTTCTTCAAAGTGTCAAGTGTTCGTCTGAATCCAAGAACAATAATATTAGATTTCCCAAACATCACAAACAATCTAAACAACATTTTCAAGTACACTCAACGTCTACAATATCAACTACGATTACAGAACAATTGATTGAAGAAACAGTTTTTAATGCTTACATTAAAGCTAGTCAGATTCTATCTCAATTTGAACTTTCTAATGTTAATCCTTATGATATGATGTAGTCTTTTGAAGAAGTGAATAATTTAGCGTACAAAAGATTATCAAGCTCAATATGTACAACTTCCAATAAAAATTCTTCTCAATCATATGATTATGAAGACGACAATGAGGGCGATGATGAAGATCAGGATGCAGATGAAGAGGAAAACGAAAATGATGATAATGAAAAACATCAACCTAACAAGGAATCCATTGAGAATGATATCACGAATGAAAATGATGAACTAACGTCAATGGATGAATTTGGTCTTGATTGTCTTCCAAATGTATCTAGTTCCACCATTCGAGGGATGCGTTTATTCGATTCTGTCAATAGTGACCAATCAGACTCTTTCTTTTCCGTTGAAGTGAATAGTCGTATCAAATACATGCACAAACAGACTGCAAACTGGTACTTTTCAAAAACAAAACCTATCGTGTCTTCTGATCGGTTGAAAAGGATACAACAGATAATATAATTTTTTTTTCTTCTATTGTTTTTCAATATCATTTTGCAATATAAGAAAAAAGTTATAAATTATCTTTTTATGCAATGTTATTAAAGAATGAACTTAAGTCCAGTCCATCTCACACTATGATCGTTGACACATTTTACTATAAGTTATTCAGAGATAGCATCTCTAAAAGACATCTATGGATCAAGTTAAAGTATGATCCACTGTATCTTTATTAATTTTCTATTTTACATAATTGTTTCAGCAATGAATTTACCAAAAACCTCTTTCCGGTCTAGAGAAACACTTGATTCTAGTGAATATAGATTCGCTACATTTAATCCCTTTATGGAAAGAGAAACAAAGATCATAATCAATCTGAAATTCAGCTACTATGATGAATGATGTATATCAGTTAAAATCACTCGAGTTGATTCAAACTCATCCAAACTCACCCAAACTCATTTTAAATCCCAAACTCACAATTTTTCGATTCCCCCTTGATCACGAAGCAACACTCATCTGTGACACAAGAGTGAAAACGCTTCATACTCCTTGAAAACTCTGCTAAAAGTCCTTATGCTTACTAGCATATCAACTGACACTGTCGTTTTTCAGAGCGTTCACTACAAAAACATGAGTTCAGCTGAACTTCTAGCTTCAAATAAATCATACTATATCTGATATGCAATCGGAATGTGCCTCATTAGTGACGCTCCTATTGAAAGTATCCATCAGATTAGACAGCTAATTTCAATATACTCGAATACATTCGAGCACGTGAATGAATACAGACAAGGACATATATCAAACAGAAAAATTCATTTTATTTCATTCAATTTTGTTTCCGATAGAGTGAATATAAACTCTTTGAGTGATGCTTTCCGTTCAATGTACTTTTCAAATATTATGCCCGTACAGAAAAACTATACTCATACTTTATTTGAAAATATTTCTCAATTTTTTGCCACTTCTAATCTCTACTGAAACCCATCAGATGTACATTTTTGCCATTTTTCCAATGAATTCTAACAACTTGACGGATTTTTTCAGGGGATTTTCTAGAGCCATGGCTAGTCACTCGTCGGCTACCCATTGCCATGTTTAATTCTATTCCTCTATCAGACCATTCTTTTTTTGGATTTACACTCCATCTGATCCTAGACTGTGCTTACTTAGAAAAATCATTAGATTTGTAGTACGAGAATTTCTAAAGCGAAGTTTTCTTGTGAACTATTCTTTATTTCTTCAATTTTATTATCTAGCTGGAAAATTAGAGTTTTATTGGAATTGCTCATCAATGAAAAACCTTATTGTAGTATTCTCAAAAAAAAAGTCTACTTTTTAGACAGATATTTGTTAAAGTGAATCCCCAGTGCACTTAAGCAATGGGTTGTTATCTATTTAACATAAAAAAAGAGATGATCTCATTTATACATATATATCTTTTTATATTACTTTCTTCAAGTTATAGCGGTTAGACATTTCACGAGTTGGAACTCCTCAAAAAAATATATGAATAATTGAATACTTCGCCAGAAAGCAAAGATAACGCAGAGTAGACTGACATACCGATCATGTTGGATTGACTAAAACTAAGCTGTGAGTTTGAGAAGAACCTGTTGGTTTGGATGCGAATACGAATGGGACAAGGAGAAATCGACTGATTTAAATTACTGTAACTCAGTGTAAATCATTTAAGATCACCAGTTTTTATCCGAAAAAGAAAAAAAATTGTTACAGTCGCAAGATAGCTACTATATACTCCTTAAAAAATCGATTTATTACCGAACTTGTCTCCAGGGTGAAGAACCTTTGGGGTTTTGTATCGATTTTCCGAACCGAAAAAGAAATCTCGGATCTTGATCTGCTGAACCGTTTTAGATTCCTCAAATCAGTACGAAAACTCAAAGTTCTTTTTTTTACTATGTAACTTGATATTTTGCAAAAATTCATATTCAAGATTTTTCAATTGATTTAACTGGAGTAAAAAAGTCATCCTAGTATATAGTTATCGAATATTTTTTCTTGGATCTTCGAGCATCACATATATTTCTTCCTTTCTCGATTAACTAATACGTAAGGTGATTTGATAAACAGTAACATATTCTAAACGAATAATGTTTTTGTTCTTATTAGATAGATTCGATTGCAAGGAAAGAAAAGAGTGTTATACTCATGCTGTGTATCTAGTTGAGATAAAATGATCGGGAATGCTTGTATTGTCACGCTGTTCTGTCCTTTTTTTTTTGGGATCGATTATTTTCATCTGATCATCGTTTAGCTGTAATTAGGAATAGCTGATAGAAGTCAAAGCAGGAAGATGATATTTTCAAAATCAGGAGAAAAGTTTAAATAAACGTAGAAACAATTCGAAGCAGTCAAAGTTAAATACAAGAAGTACTGAACAGTTTTTTCGGCTAAGAAAATCACAGACGACTACCCATATCGATTGTTTTTTTTTAATAATATTGGGTTGATGCAAAAGTCTCCGCCGATTTTTTTAAAAATTTCTTAAAGCCCTCTAGCGCTACTAAGCTTTCGTGATTTTCATACATATGATACCGCTTGTGTAGTACTATAAAATGACATTGGTTAATGTCCCAATTTATTTACATTCTTCATTAAAATATGTCAGAGATTCCTATTCATTTTCGACACTGCATTTTGTATGAGTTCCAATTAGGGAACAATGCAAGTGCTGCTGCCCGCAATATATGTGCTTCACTTGGTGAAGGTGCTGTTGCTGATCGAACGTGTCGAGATTGGTTTAAAACATTTCGTGAAGGTGACATGTCATTAGAAGATCGTCCGAGATCTGGACGTCCTCTCGAGTCTGATATTGAACGATTAAATGTCCTGATCGAAGACAATCCACGATTAACTACCCATGAATTGTCAGCAATGCTCGGGTGCGACCAATCCACCATTGATCGCCATTTGCATAAAATGGAAAAAGTTAATAAACTTGGAACATGGGTTCCACATCAATTAACCTCGGACAACTTACAGCAAAGAATCACCATATGCAATTCTTTGTTGTCAAAACGCAACCGACATAGATTTCTTCAGCAGATAGTTACTGATGATGAAAAGTGGGTTCTATATGTCAACCATACGCGCAAGCGCCAGTGGGTAAATCCTGAAGATTTGCCCGAACCAGGACCAAAAAACGACCTGCACCCGAAAAAGATGATGCTCTCAATTAAGTGAGATTTTCAAGGTATTATTTACTGGGAACTCCTTCCGCCTAACACTACCGTCGACTCGAAGCTGTACTGCAAACAACTCCAAAATCTGAAGGTTGCATTGCAAGCAAATAGTCTTGAAAAACGAAAAGTTCGACTAAACCCCTCCCCATAATAGAAGCCCCCGGGGGCTTCTAAACTGTTTATCATCCAAAATTTTCGGAGGGGGCTTCTATTAAGGCCTAAAATTTTTCAATAATTTTAGCTGAAAAAAAATTTCAAAGGACTTCAGGGATTTCTAGGGTTTTTAAGAATTGTTCAAACGAATTTCCAGGAGATTTTAAAATTTTGATGCTGGTATATAAGAAAATCAAGCAAATTCTTACCTTAAAACCTTGAATTTTGAAAGTTTTACAATGAAAATACCAATAAAAATTTCGAAAAACTTTTTAATATCAGGAGGGCTTCTAATACATTTTTCATATCGATCCTTCCGGACGGGGCTTCTAATACGGGGAGGCTTCTAATATAGAAGGGGCTTCTATTATGGGGAGGGGTTTACTTCATGGCAATACAAAACCTCATACGGCTAAGGTCACTCGCCACAAGCTGGAAGAATTAGGCTGGGAGGTTCTACCTCATTCACCATATTCACCAGATTTGGCACCATCTGACTATCATTTGTTTCGATCGCTCCGCAATCATCTGGTCAAAAAACATTTCAATGATCAAGCCCACCTAAAATCGGACCTCGAAACTTATTTTTTGTCTTTGTCTGTGAAGTTCTTTGAAGATGATATTCTGGATTTGCCTAAAAGATGGGAGTATGTAATAGATAACAACGGTGTATATGTTGTTGATTGATGACATTTTGTTTCAATAAAATCTCGAAATCGAGAAGAAGAAAAAAATCGACGGAGACTTTTGCATCAACCCAATAGTATTAGGTATGACGAATATAACGGACACGACATTATATTCATGTCTTCTTCTGTCAAATAGTAAATAACATCGGATGAGTATGCAGTTAACGATGATCATCAAGTAATTTTGTACATTTTGAACCTGACGTCTCTATTTGTTTCTA